ATACAAGACACTTGATATGGATGTGCAACTTCTTTATTATTTCCACACGACGTTTCTGGGCTAATACTTGCCCTTCATCAAGAAAAAATATCATTCACCAGATGAAGGGGCAAGTATTAGCCCAGAAACGTCGTGTGGAAATAATAAAAGTTGCACTTCAATATCAAGTGTCTTGTATTAAAGTTTATATTACGGAAAATAGAATATAGTTGTGATTTATGAAACTATATTTTTAATATTTATGCATAGATAAGAACCATATTCATAAAGATAAAAATATGACATCATATACTAATTACTCCTGTGAAAATAATATATATCCGAAACCAGATATTGATCACACTGTGAAGGAAGGCTTTAGCCTTAGCCGTGTAAGGTCCGCCGGTTTGTTGGTTAAAAACAACCAGTTGAAATTCCAATGAACGTTAAAAATATAATATCACACCTCTTCTTGGAGCGGGATAAAGTATCATCAGTGTCAGAGCGTTTAATCGTATAGTACAAACTACAAGCAGACACATGTTGATTAAACACATTGTACTCTGTCTCACTGAAAACTGCAGTAGCGTTGCATTTTACTTTCACACACAGTGTACCGGGTATGTTCCGGGTATGAATTGTGCTTGAGCAGGACAATTGCCACCAATTACCGCAATACAACAAGTACACACAGCGCAAATGTTATATTGTTAATTGTCCTCAATTCGATAACGCACCACGCCCTCCACGAGCTCTAATCGTTTGTGCCACCACTCCCGTGAAATGCCGTGTACTAGAATCATAATGGCATCATTAAACTGCAAGCATGTACAAGCATCATACTGGCATAATTAACATGAAGGCATGAAATTAAAGCAATTTTAGGTGCAACTGTCATTAATAAAAAAATAGTTGATTTCATCACACTTGGTGAAAAAATAAAATTAAATATATGCTTAGATAATATAAACGCAACACGCATCTAGGATCCTATATCTAGGAACATGTTTTAAGCCGAATTACTATGCATGATGCCACCAATTAGACTGCATAGAGCTTACAATGAATGTGATTGGTACTTTATACACTAACTAAAAATTTCAAAGTACTTCAGCAATTGAGAAATGTTAGCGCCATTAGATGACATATTATTCAACATTTATGAGGGGAATTTCGAAGTCAACCTTCAATTCGTACACATGGGTCCAGAGGCTGTCATTTTGCGATTTTTGTGCTGTATGTCTCATTTTGTAGGTAAATCTATTGCAGATCCAAATTTCAATTGGAACCGAACGCGTAGCGTGAGGTTTCAATTGAAATATTTAGTCGCCATCAATTCAGTAAAGCATGTCTCTGATTTTCAAACACACTAGGGTTATCTCCATTCTACCATGAACCATTTAAAATCGAACTTCCTCGCTCTGCGGAAGACACTGTGTAATCCGGCATGGGACGAGAGGCGAATTGAACTCGTCTGTGAAGGGAGCGGTAGGTGCCGTTCGTATTTTTTTAACATTACAACATAACAATATTCTGTCCAAAGAAATCAAACTACTGTTTATTCAATGCAATTATGTAATACCCGAGATGTTGGTCTTTTTTCCATCCCTACTCCACACGACTAAAACCACCCTATTGTTTTGTGTGCCGTGAAACTGTACCCCCCTGGCCACACTATAATGATATAGTCTGACCTACTTATTTTCTTCGAAGTAGACAGTTACGCAACAGTTTGAAATGGCGGACGAGCCAGTGTTTACATTTTGCGAAAGGTTGAAATTTGAAGTGACAGTGGACAATACTTGACTGACTGTTGAATCTGAACCCTGCAGAATCGAAGAATAGATCCTTTCCTGATCAACCTACGACCTGTAACTCATCAAAGACTGTTGATTTTTATGACCGGCGATCATGATTTCACCTACTGCCTCCACCCCGGCATGCGACAAAAGAGTCACAGTGCTGCTGCTTAGTGTAACTTGTGATTCCTTGGAACTTTGTTTTCATCGTTTGGGACTGGACTGTGTCCAAGCGTTTTTCAAAGTAGATGAACATAACAGTGACAACCTTGCGGGGAAGCTGGCAGAGAGCAGAATTGTTTTGTGAACGATGCAACGGGATATGATGGAGTATGACTATGAGTGGCATAAATGTGGTTTTTCACCAGACCGTTAGATCTATCTTGCAAATTTCCCATTCTAAACGGAATTAAATATACCATTTACCAGGTAGGTAAATGTTTACTAATGTTTTGCTGCATATTTTGTATAGATAGGGATGTATTTTTACAAGGCTTTCTGATTTATATGTTAGATATTGTTTTGTTTATATTTGGGGCTGTGTATTGTAATTGAATTTGAATATTTTTATAATAGAAGGTAATATGATAGTGAGGTTCCCTCATAATTGTTGGGGGAAAATCATATAACTGTATTTTTCGAGTTTAATAAATGTTTCATCAACATTTCCATCACGTCAGTTGTGTTGATATTAGTCATGTTGGTGGTCAAGCTGAAGTAGTGGGGCAGTGTTCTATACGTGCGCGGTGAAGCGCAATCAAATCAAACGCATTTTTAATCCAAAAATTTCCAATTGCCCATGTGTAAAATTCGAAAGTCAGCCTCAAAATCCATGGAGTTGTTGTTATGATCCGCCATCATTGTGGTCAAACGGAAGTAGTTCTCACAATAAGATTTGTTAATGCGCGGTGAAGCGGCCTTACAATCAGATGAGCGTCAATCCACAATTGATGCCGTCTGATTTTTCTGAACAACCAATCAGAATCTAGTATTTTCCTGATTCATGGTAGAATGTACAATATTGCTGTTGGGTCTGACCTTGTTTTCATGTTGGACTTGTATATGTTACAGAAGCAAGTGTTGTAACAACATATGAGAAGAGTTCATTAGTAGTCCATTGTAATCAAAACAAAACATCCTTCTGAAACCATGGAGCCTCATGATACTTTTAGAGATGAATTGTATAAGATGTATGAAGAAAATATGCGTATTTGCATCCCAAAGGAGGTCTACTTGAAATACATCAACGACTTGCTAGAAGCTTCAGCTTCAGGTGCCACAAAGAAGACACCACACCAATACTACCTTCTGATAAGCTGATAAAACGACGTAGGTCATAAGAAGAAGCTCCATTGTATTTCGTGACCATTGAAGATATGTACGACACCATCAAACGTGCACATGTTGCTACTAGCCATGGCGGCCTGTCATCTTCAACCCTCCCGCATGAGATCCTACAGTGACTGCAGTAAGAAGATGATGTACTTTCTGCCATTGAATCTCCTGCTTCCAGTGCTGATGCCTCATCACCAGTGTCCACGCTATCATCCGATGACTCGTCAGAGATGGCCCCTCAACTTGACTGCCAGGAAGATCACATATCAGCACAACATGACGGCATCATGGAGAACAGAAAATGAGGCAGGGACGCACAAGAAGAGCAGGCCCAGGGCATGGTGAAGCGGAGCAAACGTGTTTTTGGACCTAAATATCGGAGACAATGGAACCGAACCCATGTCGACAGAGGAAGAGGTGATCCCACGAACATCATTGGTGTAGTGGCCGAATGCAGTGACAATGACATCTTCACGATTGCTGTCAAGGGTGGGGTGCTGAAAGGGAAGTATTCCCGTAACCAATTTGACGTATTTGTCACGAAACTCTATGATGTCAGTGACTTCGACACAGATCAAACGGTCTCTCTACGTCAAGCAACTTGAGTCAGTTTGGTGGCCAAGGATGAACATGGTTCTTCTTTGTTACATTTTTATTTCGTATAAGAGTTCATTGTGCGATATAAGCACATTGAGTTATACCCAAGAATATGCTTTCAGTAAACACGTATAATTTTGCCTGGTTCATTTCAGTGATTATGTCTAATTACTGAAAATTTCAGTAATTAGAATTTTGGTGATTATACATAATCACTGATTATACTTGTTTCCTGTAACGAGTATTTCTGTATTCCTTACAAAACAATATTCCTGTAACAAAACTTGTTGACATGGTATAGGGTTAATTGATCTGTTGAAAGTCGCTATCTTCTACACGTAACCGACGACCGTTGTTACGTTTTGAGACGTCGTAACGAGACCAGAGAATGCTCCAGAGAATGATCCATGCAGCTGAACCCGTTAGTGGTGGCTCAGTGATCATGTGAGGTTGCTTTTCGCATGACTGCAAGTAGGGTGTCATTAGAGTACCTGGGACACTCAATGGTCAACGCTATCAACAGGAAGTAGTGTCTACTTCCCTGATGACCACCCCCTTGCCAATGCTGGACCTCATCGTTCTCGAGCCAGTATCTCTCATTTGCTGAACAACGCCACTGAACCATTACCTAGGCCCGCAATGAAACCCCATGGAACATCTTGGACGCCAAGTTCGAGCTAAATCTCCACTTGTTCAAACATCTGTAGGAATGGACGCAGGCACTCCATAAGAAATGGCAGAGGATTCTGATGCTGAGAATCTGATGCTTCACTGACAGGATGGACAGGATACTGGCAGGTGTTTTTATGCAGCTATACCAGGTACTGAAATGGTGGGGCATTATTCCAGAATTGCGTGATAATCAGATTTGTGGCGTAGTCATGGTGACCATACCTTCTGGCATTGTTGATTGTCATGTTTTGGTAAATGTTCCTCAGATTGCACTTGAATTGTTGACGAATTTCAGATTTCTTTCTTGCTTAAATCAGATTCAGATATGCTACACTGACCATTTTAATATACAGAATTTGGTTTTCAAAGCATGTCCAACAACACAGAGTCCGAAGTACAGTGTATGCGTGCTTATCATGGAAATACGTGGGTTGGTGCTTGATTAATGCTCATGTGTGTTTATTATAGCAGCGATCACAGCAATTCAGCCGTCATTGGGCGTCGGTGTGTGCCTCGCGCAGTTCTGAAATATCTAATATTACAAGGTGCACGTTGTAATTGTGCGTCTACTTTTGATGTTATTATACATAATTATATTTGCATGTGCTAATTGCAGTTAAATCCATCGTATATGCAGATACCAAAGATGCCAGAGAAGCTTCATCCATGGGATTATGCTGCAGTTGCAGGGTATTTTGCACTGGTGTTAGGAGTGGGCATATGGGTAGGTATTTCATGCTAAAAAGGGTTATTGCACCCATCGACTATTTAATAGTTCGTAAGACAATAGTACAACTTAGTCTGCAGAGCACTTACGTGCCGAAACTATTGACCTATCGAATATACGAATCAATAGCATGCACTAGGAATACTAATAAAATGAGTGTCTGATTAATACAAACACCACAACTTTGAGCTGGACGATGCCTAATTGAAATGAGTTGTTGGTCCTGTGTGTTTTTCGTTTCATACTTTGCCTTATAGCAACTATTTTCCAAACTCATTTTTATTTCTAACAGGCCAGTCTTCGACGTGGTAAGGACAGTGCAGAGGACTACTTCCTGGCCGGAAAACATATGACGTGGATTCCGGTTTGTTATTTCGTGGTTTAATTATAGACCTGTTTCAGAATGTGTTAAACTGTGCCTCATACTGGGACATCACGAATGGGCTTTATACCTTGCACCGATGTGAATACCCCATCCGGGCTTTCGGCCTGACGAGCAAAGGTCTTAATCACTTGGTTATCCATCGCCCCTCCGTTTGTTACAGTGTATAATTAATTGTCTCACAACCGGGTTTAAGTCAATTTGTGATATATTCCTGTCCTTCAGTGACAGTTTTTTTTATGGTTTAGTAACATTGTATGAATTATTCAAGTCACAGTATGACTGAAATTTTACATTTTAAGCAAAATGGTCAACACAAATGACGTATCATAGCAAAGGACGAATACTAATACTACATTTTCTTAGACGATTTAAAGTAAATTATAGATACCCCAGTCTCCTAGTCACTTTTATAGGTTTGTTCAACTTGGAACTGAATCAATTTGTTTCCAAGAAATAAGGTGACCTGATATGTATTCAGTTACCATAATGGTGATGGTGTAGCATTGAGGTTAATGCGTTCGATCGTCACGCCGAAGACCCGGTTCGATTCCTGAAATGGGTACAATGTGGAAAACCCATTTCTGGTGATTTGTTGCTGTAGGTAGCTGCCAGCAACACCAACATTCAATGTTTGCAAACACTTGCTACTATCCTTTCAGTCTTTTGTAGGGCTTACTAAAACCAAATTTGTGATATAGTACAATGTATATTTCTCATGATTATGCACATGGTTTTGTTGTTTGGTTTGGTACCTGCAACTTGATGTTTTGTTTCCTATCATTTGTACAGATAGGTGCTTCTTTGTTCGCAAGCAATGTTGGTGCTCCGATGTTTATAGGCTTAGCTGGTGCCGGGGCTGCATCCGGCTACTCTGTTGTGCTTTACGAATGGAGTGTAAGTATTAAGATGCAGAACAGCCAGGTGTCGGATGTAGCGGTTTGCCACGAGATCTCCCATGGCAACCATATGTACATATATATAAGTCATTCCACAACATTTGTTGGCCTTTCTGGCGGCGTGTATTGAAATCTCCCCAATCATGCCACAGACACAAACAGTGTCAAGTGTAGTCGCTCATTCATATTACTGATAAACAACTCACTACCCCGACATTGAAAGCAATTCACTACACGCTAAATAATTATTAATGTTTACGGAATATATAATTTTATAACTTTTTGAAATAAAGCAGTACTCTGTTGTAACAAGACAGTGAAAATATTCGCGATATCTTTTGTTAAATGTAGCAGAGAAAATTCATAAAATACTAAATTTTTAAACACACGTTTTATCTGATATTTTTGAGTGTCCTTTTATATGCAATATCAGAGGACTCTCTGCTTCTTATACATGTTTTTCATGATGTCAGTAATATTAACTGGTATCCACATATTCGTATCCAATATTCTTTTAACATGCTTCCATGTTTTACACATAGAAAATTGTGTCGATAAATAAATTAGCTCCCTTAACTTCAGTCGAGACTATTTGCTCTCATCAAGGTTGTGTTTACTGACGCGTGTCTTCAAATGTTCACACAGACGTAGATTAAGCCTCACACAGACTGGAGAGACGGGCCAGTTTAAAATCAAAGGGTTTGTCTTCAAAAGGGTAAAATGCGTTGTTGTAGAGATAACATTAATATTGTATTTATTTTGTCGTTTCACTGCATGGGATAATCCATATTTCTAGGTCTAGGCATGTGCGTGTTGCCTACATTCGTTTTCTTTATCTATAGCAATAGAATGATTCTGTTCACGTGTGTATATGTTCAAATATACACTACAGTGTTATGACATTCCAACTTCGGTTCACTGAGTTTTGTGTTTGCTATATTCTCATGCACATTCTCATTTCAAAATAACTTTACCTCATATATATTTTTTGTTAATTGCGTATTACTTCGAGGAACATATGCTTCTACAGTTTATCGAGAGCAAGTGACTCAACCTTTATAATAGTCTATATGTCTTTAAAGCCCAACTCAACTCATCTAACCCCTAGGAAAGTACAGTTAAACGCCGTTGTATCGATACTTATGAGACCTACCTAAATACCTCAAGTTTTATGCGATGTTCGACAAAACCTCTATAGCTAAATAATGACGAAAGAAGGGAATATTTCGAGACAACCGACCCGTGAAGATCCGGGGTAGAATAGGTCTTCAGCAACTCATGCTTGCCACAAAAGGCGACTATGTTGTCGTAAGAGGCGACTAACGGGATCAGGTGGTCAGGTTCGATGACTTGGTTGTCACATGTCATCGATGCTCATGCTGTTGATCACTGGATTGTCTGGTCCAGACTCGATTATTTACAGACCGCCGCCATATAGCTGGAATATTGCTGAGTTCGGCGTAAAACTCACTCACTCACTCACTTCGTGACAACCGTAGATTTGATACATCAAAGTTAGAGACCAACCCACCCACCGACCCACTCACTCACTCACTCACTCACCCACTAACCCAATTCGTGAAAACCGTACATTTGATACATCAAAGTTCGAGACCATAATGCTTGACTGTATAGTAACAAAATGCTGTACGAATAAACAACACTTTATCATTGTTTAAATGGCAACGATTCGTGGGTATGAATAAATGCGTGACCAATGAGGTTAGGTAAATACTGTTTGGAGCAGTGTACGGTGACATTACTCGTCACAGTTTAACCAGTAGATTATCGTAAACTGATCCAGTTAGTATTCATTCACTGCATTGGTGAAACCAAAGATCACATGCTGGGTCCTTATCTTAAACACTAATCAGGGATCATCTTGGTTTCTAACTCATGATCAGTGGATACGGACAACAGTAAGGTACATAACTCTGGATCCACCCGTTTCAAACGAAAAGGAGATATTAATTGCACATTATGACCTTCAGATTGAATTAGAAAGTATCGGATAATAAGTTTCCTCACAGATGACAGACACAGAAGATAAAAATTACGTGCAATAAAACATAAAATATTTTACTTTTTCAGGCAACGTTCCTGCTGCTGGCTCTTGGTTGGTTTTTCGTTCCCATTTTTGTGGCCAGTGGGGTAGGCAATACTCTGCATATAAATACGACAAAATCAATTTCTTTTCTCTTATATTGGTTCATGTATGTATTTAGCGAATTTTCGAGATAGAATATGTAAACCGTTAACACGATATCATTTTGGTTTGTTTGCTTGTTGTTTACCGCGACACTCAGCAATATTCCAGCTATATGGCGGCAGTCTGTAAATAATCAAGTCTGGACCAGACAATCCAATGCTCAACACTGACCACCCGAGCCAGTTTGTCGATTCTTACGACAAGTATCGTTTGATGAAGTCCAATTATAACCCGGATCTTAACAGGTTGAACACGATATCAACACGTGGTCTGAATGAAGTTTGATGAAGTCCAATTATAACCCGGATCTTAACAGGTTGAACACGATATCAGCACGTGGTGTGAATGAAGTAACACCGGTTTGGATAGTATTTACGCGCCTCTAAATCAATTGACTGAACTTTAACAAAGTATGAAATTACAAAATAGATACAGTCAATCACATTGGTCTGTCGACCAGGAGTCACAGCTGCATACAGGTTCGATAGACTAACCATACCACAACTTTACCAGGAATGCGTAGGATTAGCCAAGAAAGTGAGGAACCCGTCTATGCGATATCCATTCGAGTTCGAGGCGTCATTCTGACTAATCAGCACCGTCGGCTGCGACGTCAGTGGTGTCAAGGAACGATATACATTCGAGTTCGAGGCGTCATTCTGACTAATCAGCACCGTCGGCTGCGACGTCAGTGGTGTCAAAGACACAAAGTATTGTCATAACACCAATGGAGACGTATTTGGTTTAGTGACTAGTCACGTTTTATGCTGCTTCATACAGAAGGAAGACGTCATGTTTAACGTTGTTGTCACGATATAACACGGATGAAAAATAGGCAAGAAGCAAACAACTTTTCAACACGACAATGACAGACCTCACGTGATGGTAAGACTGACAACGGCCTGTTTGAGGAACCACAACATCCAGGTACTGCCACGGCCCTCCAGCTTCCCAGATCTAAACCCCACCGAACATTTATGGGGTGCTCTTGATCAACGTCTGAGATCACGTCAGCAACAGCCACAGAATCTCCAGCAGTTGGCAAAGCATTGCAGGGATTGTGTGTACATTCCCCAGGCCACAATTCGTAATCGTAATGGTTCCATGGGCGACGATGCCGGGCAGTACGGACTCTCATGGGGGGTCCCATAAGATATTGAGGACAGATGACCTTTACCTTGACATTCGATTCTTTGATGCGTGTCATGATGAACTTCGGCCAGTGACAATGAATGTGCCAAATTTGAACAGTTTATTAAGATCTGTTCATTATCAATATAGATAAAGTATACCTCTGAACCCCACTTTAGTGTTTCTTGTTATTGCAGAGTTTATGTAGTGACTCTGTAAATGATGACTTGTAATCATGGCATTCAACATAACTTGTTTCTATTCTCTTCAGGCCTACACAATGCCGGAATATCTGATGAAGCGATTCGGCGGGGTTCGTCTCAGGATCTGTCTCTCAGTCCTGGGACTGTTTCTGTACATCTTGACAAGGATATCAGTATGAAAATTAATTCACCATGAATTGTGTTTTCACTGTTTCAGTTATAATGGAAGAATCTTGAATCTAAATATCCTCTGAAGCAGGATACAAAACAACTGAATTACAAACTTATTATAAACATTATGCATAACGTAAAATCATTAACAATGTAACTTCACTTACGACTTTACTTACAGTTAATAAATTCATATTTAATGTGATGTTTTATTTGTAATCAGATTGAAATCTACTGCGGAGCTCTATTCATGCAGTTACTTCTTGGCTGGAATCTCTATTTATGCATCACCGGCATTTTGCTCATTACAGCTCTCTATACAGTCATCGGTGAGTCAAATAAGCTCCTCTCAGTAACACATTAAGGCCAAGATACATTATATAATACATGAAAATAACGAAAACTCTGTCAACTGACGAAACAGAATAACAAAAGCTGACATACAGAATGAATGTGAATAAAGAGAGATTTTCATTTCAGTCGTATGTTCAGGAAACCTTGACAGGAATATAAATGCAAAGGTTTTCATATAAACATTCAACTTCGTTCGTATGGTGAAAACATTACAGGGTATGTCCTCTTTAATATGTGTGGAAGGCCTTATTGTTACAGATTAGCTGTTATTTAAGCTCAATGTTACGAGATCTACACAGTATAATTAGATCTTAAAGTGATTGAGTTAATATTTAAAGTCACATAGATCTTAAAGATACATATCCATACAAGTCCACACATGAATCTAAACTGTATATCCTACAACTGGCAAAGAGACCACATATCACATCTCGTTTTCAATTCAGATTTAACTTCGATATTTTGTAGTAAATTCAGCCAGAAGATCATTGGTTGTAGCAGAACCTGATTGTATTTGTCCCAGTTGTATTTGTGTGTAAAAGTGCTATCGATGATGAATATCAAGTACACTTTGTTTGTGTAAAATACACCAACTTGGTTGTAAATAGTTGGCAAATATATATATTTACAGTGGAAGGATGAAGAAGTGATATATTAACGATTTTCAGTACAAATATGTAAATACACACACACACACACACACACACACACACACAACACAAACCAAACCAAGCAACAACAATAACGAAAAACACCCCCCCAAAAAGAAAGAAAAACCCTAAAACCAAAAACATCAAACAGAATAACAACAAAACAAACAAACAAACAAAACAAACTTTAAAAAACCAAAACACCCTCCACAAAACCCCAACAAACCAAACCAACAACAGATAAACAAACAACCAAACAAACAAAAATCAACATCAACAAAAAACAAAACAAGTAAAAAGGATAAGTTTACTTCTGTGAAACACAAATTGGATTTCCATGGGTTCTATTGTTCTATTTTGTCAGTATTTTAATAATTTCCCAGATTTTTATTTTATCCTGAAACGAGTCCAATGTTCTATTCCGGCTGCATGTGTTTAATATCAATCACTTTCAAAAAGTCATGATCCCAGATGTTCCAGAAACATAAAACTATAGGCGTTTTATGTGGGCTCTATTGTCCTGTAAATTTCATTTTAATGTAATTTAATCAATCAAACTCTGTTTTGCAGGCGGTCTCGTTGCAGTAATGTACACGGACACATTACAGACAGGAATAATCTTAATAGGAGCATGTATTCTCACTTACAGAGGTAAGGTGGAAATAATTCGATCAGAGATAGTGTGTTGGTGATTTTGGTTTTACACAAGCAATATTCCAGAATTTTCACGGCACTAAACACTAGAATAAGCTTCACCCATGCTACCAATGGAGGGAATCGAACCCAAGTCTTGAAGCATTACCCAGTAGTTTACCTCAGCCTCCGTATGACATAGATAAACCATATATTGAGTTGGTGGATAATGTTCCATTTCTGTTGAAAACCCACAAAAATGCAGTTGGCATAATGTTGTTTAGGTGCAATTAAGTGAAGAACAATGCTCAGTGGACACCGGCATGGATAATGGATCCAGACCTACACGTGCACATCGAATTGAAGTGGCTTAAGTCATCCTCTACTATTTCATCCTTTCATAACTCCACCCCAAAAGCATTTGCTTAAAACATATATGGAATTCCTTCTGACTGACTCCTTCTGTAAGTGCACATATAACTTCATGTACCCAGAAATGTGTCTGTTTCAGGCTTTCAAGAAATCAACGGTTTCCAGGGCTTAGAAAGGGACTTTGTGAAAGCTGCCTCCAACCAAACTATGGTTAACGTATCGCACTACAGCTGTGGTCTTCCCCCTAAGGACTCTTTGCACATTTGGAGAGATCCAGTGCATGGGGACATTCCGTGGCCTGGTGTTCCTTTTGGCCTTGTTTCGATAGGCTTGTGGGTGTGGTGCACTGATCAGGTAAATCGATGTACAAACTGGTATTAGGATGCTTCACGAGTCACTCAATATGAAAGTAGATTATCTCTGCACACGAGTTTACCTACCGATTGTGTTACATCTTCAACTATGTACATCGTTGGTTTGTACATGTTCCACGGTAGGTTACAGTTGTTTTTAAAGGGAATGACCTAGGGGGTTAATGCATAATCACCTCACATGCTTCTTCCTTGCGTCCTTTAAATCTGGCCTAAAGATCCAACTGTTCCTTAATGACTGACAATTGTTCATATTTAAAGTTGTATGCGCTCAGCGCATGCAGATCAGCTTCATAAAAGTGGCCTTATTACGATTTGCCAATGTCAATAATTACAGCTGATGGTGCAGCGAACGCTTTCAGCTAAGAACATCAGTCATGCTAAAGGTGGAACCTTGTTAGCCGGTGCACTGAAGATATTGCCCTTCTTCCTCTGGATCATTCCAGGGATGATGAGTCGGATCCTCTACCCAGGTGCATGGTATTATATTGTAAAGAAACCACTGATGAAACTATTACTCCGTCGACGTCGATGGTACATTGAAAAGCTGTTACAGTCCGTTTGACTCAGAAACGGACCGATGAATTGCAAATTGTATCATTGTTAGAGAAGCACCTGCACAAGTGCCCACCAAGTTATTGATTCATTAGCCTGTGCTGTGCCGTCTCCATTCTTTCTCGCACACCTGGCTGTCCCTTTCTCTGCACTCCTCCCTCGTAACAAATAGTGAACTGTGTCAAAAGTTTAATGATAGTTTCTTAAAGAACTTTTTTTGGTGGAGTCCGGAACATTTTCAAATATAAGAAAGCTGTTGGGTATTATTAAATTATAAACGTGTACTATTTATATTTATGTGGCAATTTTGTACAATGATAAAATTTGCAATTCATCGGTCCGTTTCTGACTCAAACGGACTGTAGTTAGGGATATATTAGATCCATATTGAACTATTTATGATGTAGATGTATAGGCGTTCCAAAAAATGAGACAAAAAGCTCATGTCTATTCATATTTAAAATGTAATCATAGTTATTGCCTATTATATATCATTATAATATACTATCCACATAAAGAAACTGTGCATTGTCAAAATATTATCCCAGTTGATAAGTACGATAACAATGTCAAAGGTACATATAAACTTTAATGGAGGGATCATGAGATCATAACAAGTCGGGAGAATTTCAATTGAAAAGTCAATCACAATGACGTCACGAGTCCACAAGCGGGACAGGGGTCAAACGACCATGTCACAAGCTCAATAACGGGTATGTCCACTATCGGCATAGAGCCTATCAAACGTGCAAGGAAGGCTTGTGGGATGTCACGCCAGATTCTCTCAAGTTCTGTTGCAAGGTCAAGGACGTTATCTGGCGGATGAGGAAGACGGCGTAGACGTCGATCCGTCTCGTCCCAAACATGCTCTATCGGGGAGAGATCCGGTGAATTTGCAGGCCAAGGCAGTAAGTCAACGTTGTGGTGTTGCAAGAAATCCATAGCAACCCTTGCCGTATGAGGGCGGGCATTGTCCTGTTGGAATGTTAACCCAGGGCCATGACGTTGCAGAAAAGGAATTGCCACAGGTCGAAGAATCTGATCCCTGTAGCCCACACCAGTTAAGTTGCCCTGAACAATCACCAAAGGAGTTCTTTGGCGTACTGTTATTCCACCCCAAATCATCACGGAACCACCACCAAAGCGAATCCTCTCCAAGACACAGGCCTGTGCATAACGTTCTCCCACTCGTCTATAGGCACGTTGACGTCCATCACTATGGGAAATGTTAAACCTGGACTCATCTGTAAAAACAACATTTCTCCACCAAAACAAGGGTCTGCGGACATGATTTCGGCACCACATTCGGCGAGCTTGTCGATGACGTTGTGTCAGGATAGGCCGTATGGCGGGACGTTGTGGTCTGATTCCTTGATGACGTAAACGTTGTCGAACTGTGTTGGGGTGGATACGGCAAAGTCCTGGGATGGTTCGGGCAGCAGTCTGAAACCTGTGGCGAAGATGGATCACCCATATCCATCTGTCTTGTCTTGGCGTTGTTACACGTGGACGTCCAGAACGTGGCCGATCGATGACGTCATTTGTGTTCTGGTAGCGTCTCACCAGTGCAGAAATGGTGTTCCGGTGGCAGTGGAAATGTGCAGCCACTTGTCATTGAGACATTCCCCCACGGACCATCCCAATGGTCTCATGACGTTGTGCAGACGTGAGCCTTGGCATGCTATGCGTTTCAATAGCCGTTTAATTTTTTGAACGATCGCAAGGGCAGGGGTTGAGCTTTCCAAAGAGACAGTATTGTGTGGCATTCATTTGCTCTGTTTTTCTTTCCCGGAATGCACGTGCAACAACGTATTGCACGTCTCAAGGACGAACCCTCTGCCGTCACGGAACGTGGCACGTGCATGCATGTTGGATACATGTCACTAATCTCTGAGTTTAAATCCTTATGTGTCTACACAGGTTTGATAAATTTACATTTTAAATTTTTGCATGCACAGTTTCTTTATGTGCCTAGTATATATTTAAAGATTTTGATGTGTACCCTGAAATTAAAAAAAATGATTATTTGGGCAGTATTTACTTGACGTATAAACTAACTTCAATGGCCAACCTTTTTCCTTCAGATGAAATTGCATGTTCTTCTCCTGAGCGATGTGACGAAGTATGCCAGAACAAAGCTGGGTGTACCAACATCGCCTACCCCGTCCTAGTGTTGAGGCTGTTACCTCAAGGTATGAATTCTGAGTCGGTAAGAAATTGTAGTATTTTCACTGCAACATTAAAATCACGAAACGCTGTTTTTTTCCAGAATGTCGACGGAAAAGCTCTCTTACCCTGATAAGTAGTATAAGGTCGCATAAAAATAATATATCTAAAAAATGTTTTATATCATAATTCATCGTCATGTTTTATCCACCCCAAAGCGTACATAACGCTTTAATGAACTGTTGCTTGAGTGCCTGTAATATCAATTTCCACCTACATCCTAATCCTTAAGTACAATATGTGAAGCCCCTTTCTGGTGTCCCCCCGCCGTGATATTGCTGGAATATTGCTAAAAGCGGCGTAAAACCAAACTCAGTCAGTCAGTCAGTCCTAATCCTTATCATCAACTTGTAGGTCTTCGAGGTCTGATGCTAGCTGCTCTGCTTGCTGCTCTAATGAGTTCCCTGACATCCATCTTCAACAGTGCCAGCACCATGTTCACCATGGACATCTGGCCGCGAATCAGAAGGAGACCGTCAGAAAACGAACTTATGATAGTTGGACGAGTAGCAGTGGTCGCCTGTACTGCAATAGGCATTCTGTGGTTACCAATCTTGCAGCAAGCCCAAGGTGGACAACTGTGGGGGTACTTGCAGTCAGTAAGCGCCTATACTGCCCCTCCTTGGACGATGATGTTTATGTTTGCCCTTCTGTGGAAACGCACAACTGAACAGGTTAGGATAAACGTAAAAATGAATCGTGACTTCCCCATAGTATATTGGCTTCTTTTTTGTCGGACATTTGAACAGGATGAGCAATTATTGGACAGAAAATGCCTTTTTCATCATTTTTTTCAATTCATCTATGTGTGTGGTCTTTATTCATGTTGGTACCTGAAGCATATTACGCAATGGGACGAAGGTTTACGTAGAAGACAGATTATATGTATGGGTATATGAAAATAATATGAAAGGTAGAGTATTCTTAAGATCTATAACGCAGATTTCATTGTAGGGGGGCTTTCTATGATTTGATCATTTTATCTGAAACTGGGGTTAATAGTTGGGCGTAGGTTTGCTTGGGGAACGGTATGCTTTGGCACTTCGCGAGACCTTGCGTTGTTTAGTCGTTCCGGTGACAAATGACGTTTCACATCTTTTCGAATGTCTCATGGTTATCAGTTGACAGAAGGCACCGATAATCCTTGCAGGAATAACACCTGTCTAACCATCCCCGAATTAGCCAACTATTACGACTGTTAACAGCCGTGATTGACAAGCATGCTTGTACACTTGTCCAGTCTAGTAAAGTCATATTTGGAGGTCGTGCAATTTGGAACCAGAACTGGTTCTTAAATATACGCTTGTAACCGGAAGTAAGCTGGGCCCCGTCTCGCATATCGCAAGTTGAATTGGAGTCGGGAACCAGCTTAGGACCGGAAGTAGCACCTCGCGAGATTTATAGGCCCTACAGGCAGGAGTGAGTACGGTTTTACGCTACTTTAAACAATATCCAGCAATACCACGGAGGAGGACACCAGGAATTCAGACATTCAAACCGTGGAACCAGGCTTGTGGGTGGTATGTGGGAGCCTTTGAACCATTAGGTTACCTCAGGAAGTGTAGCGTAAGAATATGTGATGTGCAACACATGTTTCATTCCAGGGAGCCTTCTGGGGTTTGATCGCAGGACTGGTTGTTGGGATAATCCGACTGGTGGTTGACTTCACACACCCAGCCCCTTACTGTGGCAGCGGAGAGGAAGACACTCGACCTGCAGTGTTGAAGCATGTGCATTTCCTCTACTTCGCCATGATCTCAGCTGTTGTCACCTCTGTTGTCATCGCCGTTGTCAGTCTCTGGACAAAGCCCAGATCAGAAGCTCAGGTAGGGTGGGGTGAGCAAGCAAGCGAGGTAGTAAGATTTTACGCAGCTTCTAGCAAAATATAGCTGTAGTACTTCGAGGGTATAGGACCACATACCATTAACATTCACAGCAATCCCACACATCAGGAATTTAAAGGTACGATCTGTGGATACTTGGTCAATGAATGGGTGCGGGTGAGTCAGTTTAGTTTTAGTTTCAGCAATATTCTAGCTATATGGCGGCGGTCTGTAAATAATCGAGTCTGGACCAGACAATCCAGTGATCAACAGCATGAGCATCGACATGCGCAAATGGGAACCGATGACATGTGTCAACCAAGCCAGCGAGCCTGACCGCCCGATCCCGTTAGTCGCCTCTTACGACAAGCATGGCTTACTGAAGGTTCATTCTAACCCGGGCCTTCACGGGTATGGTAGATGAATGGTGCAACTCTCGCTTACTGATTTTATAAACATTTTATGATCATCAACACAGTATAGTAACATCACATTATCATCACTGTGATCTGAAACGCTGCTTCTTGCTGTTGAGATTTGCGTACATTGGCCGTGCAACTTTCATGCTTAGACGTTCAGCAGCACACCTGATAACGCAGAGATCAATCAATTGGCCTTTCATGGCTCTTGGATGGTTGGTTTGGAGTCGCCATTTTCAAGCCTGCGTAGACCGACAAAATGAGGCTGGTTTTAGCATCATTAGGCTTCTCTTGGTACTGACGCTATACCAATGGTGTCTCGTTCAGAAAGTCCACTTTGACGTGTTAATGGCATGTGTTCCTTATCGGCTTCCAGTCTTCTGATATCGCTCGACACCTTCCTTTAAAATGACACTTCTAGAACACTGTTGGAAGCAGCGATACATCCAACTTCCTGTTTTGAATAAGTTGATAAATACCCAGGCTGAAAGAGGAGTATAAAAGAGGAAAAACATGTGTGAGACAGTCAAGTGAATGCTGTATAGCGCCTGTCAGTAAAAGTCCACCAGTCAGGGACCCTTATTTAAAAACAATCATTTATATTGAAAAAACAACAACACACGCACACAAGTTAATCGCCATTGAATTTCAGTCTCAAAGATATGTAAAAACAGATTCCAAAGGGTGACAAAGGGAAAATACACAGTGGTCATAAAATATGTGCGAATGGATCAGTGAAAATCGTCAATGACACCAGCTGTTTACAACACAAAGGTAAGAAGAAAATGCACATATAGCCGATCATTAGAAAACAGGTTTTGATCAAACACGTGTGACCATTAAAGAACGTCAATCTGAGACATATCTTGTGTTTTCTGTGTGTAGCTTGGTCGCACCACATGGTGGACACGTCACCGTGCTGATCCTGAAATGGAACCAGAGGAAGACACAGAGGAGGAATACGATGAAGACAAGAAAGATGAAGAGGACCCGTCTGACCTGAAGATGACAATCGCCGCTGAGGCAGGAGACGTTGACGTTGACGTCCAGATACATTCCCTCACCAGAGGTAAAGGTAATAATGATCGAAAAGTTTACCACTGTCGCTTCACGTATTGGCAACTTTATATAACTTTATCTTAGAGCTTTATATCACCTTTTTTAAGTTCTGTCGGGTTTCCACAGACAACCTGCTCACATATTTACAATACCTTTACGAAAATGTTCTCCAAGCCATTTTCTAACATATCGTATATGTTAGCTTAAATAATATTTTCCAGGGAGATGTTCGACAATATGCAAAAACATCGCAATGTGGGTGTGTGGGGTGACACAGAGGAAGACCCTTGCACTTTCCAAACAAGAACGGACCGCCCTACAGAAGCAGTTCACCAGTTTGGAAGAAAATGAAACAACAAGAACAGCGTTGAATGCTTGCGCCATAGGACTGTCATTCATAACCGTCTTTCTTTTGGGATATTACAGTTAACAGACAGAGACGCTATGTTTTGGACAACTTTATTTTTTCATTTATTTACTGAGCCAAAAACGTCATCTGACTCGTAGAAATTTCCTCGTCGGTGGATGTAGCACCAAGTTAATTCAGAGTGGCATGTTTGCCTTGACGTACTGACATATTATAATCAAGTATTTTATAAAATCACTGTTTTTGAATACCGTTACAAATTATCTATGTTGTGTCCGTTATCATTATCAATGGTTATTACATTCCTTTTGAAGGTTATTATTGTACATCACTGATTGATATCTAACGGACATCGCCTATCTTTCAGAACATTAGATCTATTACGTGCCCATTCTTTACGATAGTGGTCATTACTTTTCACGCATTATTTAATGGTTGTTTAATACATTTAGAAACATTACTATTATCACTTGCAAATTTAATTGCATCAAAGATAACATTATTAGTACGTATTACTACTGATGTGTTATTATGGTTATTACGAATGTCTGTTTTGCGAATCACGAATTCCCATGTTTATTTAACACCTTTATGAACATTTACAGTGAGTCTTACTTTCAATATTACGCAACTCCCCCAAAGCGTTTATTACGTCATTTGGAACACACGCACAACATCACTGTTTGTGTTGACAATAGTGAGATAGTCGAAGAAATTAGGGAGGACATCATGAGCTTCAGTACCCGGAGACAAATGCAAGTATCGTGTGCAGAATACCTCTTCAAATAACCGTGTAAACAGGGGCTTTATGAAATGTATGATATTATGTCTCTTTAAATAAGCCCCAGATGTGATATTGTTTTCAACTAGAAAGGACCTGTGACATCTGTGCCTTTGTCTACGGTTTGTTTCAGTGTTGAAAACGTTTGTTGCAGATTCAGATTTTCATAGATGTGCATTGTGTCATATTTCGGTTACTTGTCTTCCGCAACGCCTAGCTGAATCAACCTATTGAAATGCTCCTTGATATTCTGTCTTAACTGCCACAGGTGCTGTGCCAAACCATGACCTCCCCCCAAAATGGATTTTTACTCAGATAGATAGATAGATAGATAGATAGATAGATTTTGACCAGACGTTAGCTGTCACAGTGTGTTTATATTGTGAATAAGGGTTAATGCTACATGACTCTATATTGGAATAATTCTCTGTCAATGAAAGATACTGGACACAAACATCAATGAAACCTGCAAGAGCAGTGAAAAGTGCTTGTTGATACGATAAGGGAAAATCCCTTTACTATCTTTGAAATATCTGATGATGATGTAACATTTAGCATTAATCTTAGTATTATTCTTAAACGTCCATGGTGAAATCAGGACCTTTTAACATCTGAGTATGTTTTGTATGCCCACCATGTTAACGTGTTGATTTCCTTGTTAAAATAGAATAAATAATGGTTTACCCATCGAGTTCGTGATTGTTGGGTTAGACTTGTGAGTTGACCTCCTCCTGCTGCTAACCCTTAACTGAAGTAACCAACTATCTGTTGAACTTACTTGGATTCTCAGTCCAGAATTGAGGAGGTCTTCATGCTTCGACGTCCTATTGGCCACTCTAGATACACACATGGATATTTACTGAGAGGTGAAAAGCCTCCGTTTTGTATCCCTTGTCATGAAAGAATCATGGTTAGGCATGTCCTGCTTGGCTGTTTCAAATCATCTTCTATGAGGGATCTTTTTATTATAATTAGTTCTTATTTATTTGTTGCTCTTTTAAAAATAAACTGATAAATTATGACGTGTTTTTAATGTACAAATAGAACATGAATATGAACTTAGATTGGTTGTGGCTATACCGGTGATGGGGGCTGAAGTACTGTAAAACTGTTGAATCCCTGAAAGGGTTCATTAGCTCACATCATTTAAGAATATTCATATCTATCGCCGCTTTTAATCTAGTATATTTGTACGTTTTAGATGAATGGCTAACATTGCGTACAGTCGCTAGTAGTTGTAGGGACGGTATAAACCCTGTTGGGGAACCGTGGAGGAAGCTCCATCCCGGGTATGGTGGCAACTTTGGTTGCTAGCGATCTCTAGTCCCTTTATTGTGTGTTTGTCTTTTGATATTTTCTATGTTTAGAAATATGTGATTGTCTACTTCTTATGCTGTCCCTTAGTGACAGCTTTCTATAAAGTATACATATATTTATTTTGAATGTCTGAAATATTGCCGATGTGACGTAAAACTTTAACACAGTCACGCACCTCAACAGAAGTTGCAATCTGTCCAAGGGACCGCCAACAGTGTGAGCGCATTTCGTACAAACACACACGGGATGGTCCTGTTAGAGCCAGAAGACGTTAAAAGGTGTTGCAATTTGCTTGCCATCTCGCTGTCCCATGCTGGGGGAATGTAGGACTAAGCCTGTAGGGGTATCCAAGTTGAACTGCCACAGTATACATAGCACAATGAAAAAACTGTATATTGTATAACCGATACTTGGTTTATTTTCATGTGGCTTATTGATACCTACTTGAGTGTCCTACTTCTTTTGTATGAGATCTCCAATGTAACAACTGGTTTATAGTCTGTATAGGGGATGAGAAGTGATGTCACAAATGTGTTGAGTGCTGCGTGAGCTGCAACATCAGCCACCGTGTTACCAGATATTCATGGCTGGGTAATCAACAAAAAACGATGACGTATTGGCCAGTAGCAAGTACGTTAAAAAACTCAATAATTTCAATTAAAAGTGGATGTTTAGAAGACATGGTTTAATAGCCTGAAGGCAAGTGAGAAAATCTGAAAATATGGTGAACTGTTTAGACTGGTTATTCATATATTTTAGTGCTGTTAATATAATATTAGCCTCTGCTGTAAAGGTGAAGCCTTAATCTTGAAGCCATTGTTCGGGATCCAATGACCATGGTACTAGCAACAGCGCCACTATCTTTGGATCCATCAGTGAAGATAGATTTGTAATTATAAATGTCACAAGTGTTTCTTTATTCATTATATTGTTGTTGGTAAATAATTTGGTTTGTTACAGATTCCTTCAACCTAGTTAATGTCAGATCTAACTCTGGCCTTACTAACTGGTGGATGGTTTTCTGATCCCCTCCCCACTTCAAGTATGAAACAACTTTTAATATCACTAGTGTCTTCAGGCATACATTTTTCAAATATTTTATAGGAGGCCGAGAGTTCAAATGGTAATCGAAAATAACACCCAGGATCTTGCCCTTTACAACTTTGATAGGAGTTTCATATAAACTTAGTTCTTGTTCTTGCTGTGGTTTATATTTTCGGCAAAAATGAATGTAATTGCTATTGGTTTTCGAAAATTTGAATCCATTTTCCAGGCACAATTGATTTGTCCCTCACAGTTTTGGTTAGCTAAACGTTTGGGTTGCTACACTGGTGACACTCATGTTAGCGATTACTATTAGCAGATAAATAGTTTCATTCGGTCAATTTCCGGGATTTATTGGAATTCAACATAGGCAAATTTAGTTTAAAACCGACTGACATTTTATGTCTCATTAATTACTTTAAAAAACATTTTAGCGTTCTGTCAGGTAAACAAATATAAATACTTACCTTCATCATTCATGAACTCCTGCAAAATTGCATCATCTCCAAAAGATTTCATTAAAGGAACCAGGGAAAAAAATCACGATCACACAAAACAGAGTTGGCCTCCATTATGGAAATGAAAGTAGTGCATATTCTTACGTATCATTGGGCTGTTATTCGGCTTTTGTAATTCAGGGAATCGAACTATATTCGACGAGGTTTCTCGACCAATGAAATTGCAGAAAACACTATTGGTTTACAATTATCAATGATTATGATAATGACGTCCGAAATAAACTAGAACTGTAACAGTTTCGTTGCCATCTGACATGTGTTTTTTCTAAGATTCAATAGGTGTATGTAATGCCTTTAAGTCGATATAAAGGTTACTGACTGTCACAACAGCAAATGCACAGCGCAAAATCTGGCGATCTTGGTTGTACATTACTGCTACATAACATACAACTTACAACATATTCGTAACTTCGAAACATATCCTCCTGCGAGGATACGTAAATCCCAAAACCTTCAAAGTACATCTCAACTTACCAGAATTTTTGAGCGTAGTATTTGTGTGATTTTAGATTATGGCTTAACTTTTCCTACAATCGCCAGCGGCTGAAGTGATGGTGTAAATCCAGCTAGGGTCTATGCAGGTAGCAAAGGTACTGTAAGTCCCCATGGCCCCTAGTATGGTGATCTACCTTCGGTTGCTGGCTATCTATAGCCCGTTTTTTTCTATTGTATTGTCCTAATTTGAAATCCAGTTTTGGAGATAGATACTACTTTTATTTCTGGAGTCTGTGATATTCTAGTTGGTTTTACCGTCCTTCGTTGACAGGTTTATATAACTTACATGCATTTATGATGAAGTTAAGAACTTGTTTTAGTCACGATATGGATGAAATATTGCCAATGTGACTTTACTCTTTAACTCACTCACTCGAAACAGAAACAGTTCTAATCGACCATATGCGAATCTTCCATGGAGCTGTTCTACTTACCATACAACTTACAATATATTCGTAACTTCGAAACGGAAACAGTTCTAATCGACCATATGCGAATCTTCTAAGAAGTTGTTCTACTTACCATACAACTAACAATATATTCCTAACTTTGAAACTGAAACAATCACAATCGACCTTATGTGAATCCTCCATGAAGTTGTTCCACATCTGATGATGTTCAGATTGTCAGGGGGGCAGTGGGGTAGCCTAGTGGTTAAAGCGTTGGCTTGTCACGCCGAAGACCCGGGTTCGAATCCCCACATGGGTTCAATGTGTGAAGCCCATTTCTGGTGTCCCCCGCCGTGATGTTGCTGAAATATTGCTAAAAGCGGCGTAAAACCAAACTCAGTCAGCCAGTCAGTCAGATTGTCAGGAACTGGCAAATTATGAGCAACCGTTCATCGTTCCATTTTAAGCTAACAGATGGTTGCTTCATATGGGTCAACCACATATGCCTGCTTGTCAAGAAATGATAGATAAAACGCCTTGACATAGACTTAACTAAAGTCTCTGAAATAGAAATAGCCCCCAAAGTCTCTCGACTTTGAACGAAACAATGAGTTAGTTTGATTTAATCGAAGTCATACAGACAGGGTCTGACAGTGTACACGGTCATACGAAAAGATATACATGCATATGTAAAACCAATGGGCTAAAAAGTGATGAATGGTACTGAAGATATGTGTTATATCCTTTTTGTTGAATTGATTGAATCTGAACATATTTGTCTATATTATTACCATTCAAATACATTAATCCCGTAATGGCGTTATTGTCTCGGTATAGACGCACGCGCACATACACGCATACATATATACACTAAACTCACTCACTAACTGTCCTATCTGGCTACAATGCCACCTGGATATACTGCCATATTTTCTCCTGGACAAACGGTGGCATTATAACCAGGGTATACTGTACATACACACATTTGATATTAGTTTGCATATTTTCTGGTTGTACTTTGTCCATTCTGAACTTTATCCATTCCTAATTGCATTAAATTGCATTGTCATTGGTACCATTACGTTATTAAATGAGAAATGTGCGTCAGAACACCAACAGTGTTATGACAAATACGAAGCTTACAACTTTATGGATGTCTACATCTATAACTTCTTGTTTATTGCATAGAACGTCTTACGCCGTTGTCAAGCTAAAGGTGACTACAACCAAGTGATGAGAAGTTTATATACATAGTATGTACTGACAAACAACAGATTAACATTAACAAAAGTATGAAATTAAATAAGGAGTGGCTCATAATTGTATCGTAGCGCTACGACTGTCGTAAGTCTATGTTACTGTATAGGAGGTACGACAGTCGTAGCGCTACGATAACTTTGTGAAACGGGGCCCTGGACTTATATTTCAACATGACAAAGATACGCCCGTTTCATGAAGCCAGTGTAGCACTACGACTGTCGTGAGTCTATGTTAAAGGATGGGAGTTACGATCACCTTAGCGCTACGATTGCTTTGGGAAATGGGGCCCTAGTATAGGGCGCAACGTTTTGCATCACGTCGGTTTTGACGTCATCGGCCATTCCGTTCCCCAGACTTGAACCTGACCAA